GAGGCAAATTAGGTCCCCAGATAGTAACAAGTAAAGGTCAGAATACAGCTTTACATCTAAATGGGCTATTATGAGGAAATGTACTTCATGGCTAAACAAAAACTAAATCAAAGAGAATTGTGGGTGGTATACAGGCAACACAAGCAAATAAGTGATATCACTGCCATACAGCAAAATGGGTCATACTTTATACAAACACTGAAAGCAAGTATTCCAAAACAAGGAAATGGGAATGTGTTGTATGATAAGTGCACTTCCTGCCTTCCTAGTCGTGCTGTGAAAGCCACAAGTTGGCATCAATGCTGCAGATCAGCCCATGAACAAAGTATAAGAACATGTACAATATAGCATTTGATCTTTGTATTATGTTGAGTTTCCATCTGTGTTGGACATGTTCTGCCACGTTTCGTCTACTGCAGCACTTTTATCTAATCCATGTTTTTAACAAAAACAAACAGACTGACTGCAAGAAAATCTGTCTGAGCTTCATCTACCTGCTGCCACACCCTAAACCACACTGTGCCAACAGGCAGGGCGAACTCAGCCCAGGTAAATCCGTGCTTTTATCTATTCAAAGTAGACTGGATCCGGAAAAGGGAATGGCTGTTTACTTTTCAACCTCTACAGTTGAGTCTCATCCTTATCAGACCAACATTTGAAGAAGTTCAAAGTTTAGTACAGTTTTTTAAAAAAAGGCGCGTTTAGACAGCAGGTATACAAACACATGCATGCCACATATAAAACTAAATTAATATAGTTAACTCGAGCTGCAACCAATGATTTTCAATTATTATTATTATTATTATTATTATTATTATTATTATTATTATTATTAATAATAATAATAATAATAATAATAATAAATAATTAATAATAATAATAATAAATCTTAATACCCCAGAACACTACATAAATTAGCAATTGTTTTACATGTAAAAGGGTGGAAGCAGGGGGTTTTGGGCATTTTTGGTTTAAAAAATGATTTAATTAATTAGATGATAATCAAAATAGTTGCTGATAAATGTTCTGTCGATGAATTTATCGACTAATAAGCTCTATAGTTCACATGAGTGCATGTCTTTAGCAAAAAAAAAAACATGGGTAGAGCTAACTGTAACATGATATCAACAGAGCGGAGATAAACCTCTTCGCTCATCTGTCTGGGTGGGGCATTAGGGAAGGAGTTAGAGAGCGAGTCGTGCCGGTGACACTGAGGAGCCAGTTCTCCCACACAGGCTCATGTTTCACAGCCAGCGGCACGGCTGGAGGTTAGACTGGGCACGAGACACCAGACAGCCGCACTATTTCAGTATTAAAGGAAAAGATGACTAAACGAGACCTTTACAAACCTGCGAACACTGTTCTGTAGCTCCCGCTGTAGCTCGGGGACTTGTATCTTGTGTTTTCTGACCCGTTTCTGTTTCTCAACTTGTTTTCCTAGGCTCCAAGCTTTAGGTTTAGACTTTATTTTACAGCACTACATTCCACCTACACCTGGTTTTGTCTACAGTTTTGAATTATTTACAAGTCAAATAGTGCTGTTGGGAGAAGGGTTGGCATTCTGGCGCAACAGCTTGGGGTTCTGCCTTCAGGGGGGGAGCATGTGTTTGTTGCAGTTATGCATACAAAGATGTGTGTGTGTGTGTGTGTGTGTGTGTGTGTGTGTGTGTGTGTGTGTGTGTGTAAGAGACGCAGTGTCATGCCGTTGGGCTAAACAGGTGTGTCCGGTCAACTGAAATGCAGTGACGGCTCCACCTGCTGCCATGCATTCTGTCAAATTTGAGAGGACTAACCAAGGACATTAACAAGAAGTCAACATGTTGTGAGACGTAGTTGTCCAGTGTTTGTTGTGCCACCGTCTGCTGCTGTCGCCACCTGAAGCTCAGCATAGTGACCGGTCAAAACAGTCCGTACGGTGTGTATTAATAAACCTGACTTCCCGTTCCAGTGAGTCTACAGTCAGCCCATTCCAAAGGCCATGAAAAACCTCTGAGTCACCACCCGTCACACGGCCGAGCCAAGATTCCAAGAGCCAGAGCACCATGGCAACCAAACATCAAACACTCGGGCTAAAGTATAGCAGATAAAGCCGGCCCGGGCCGGACTGAGCGATTCTTTTCCACCACACACACGCATCAAAAGGATCTGCTTCCTTTTGAAAACAATATTGCAGAGGGAGCCGTTGCTACTTTTCTTGCCTGGTAGCTGGACAACTAAAAAGAAGCACAATGACATGGGGGACGTTGTGGAGGTGAATACAAAATGTAATAATACTGGCTTTTTCTTTTTTCCCAGAGCTCACCACAAAGTCAACATCCACCTTCAGTAAGAGCAAATTTACAAACCATAGATTGACGGGCTGGGTGAACAGCGTTGCAACTGACACCACAGTGAAGGTCAGCACCCAAATACACATCTGCAGAGTACAAATGAGTCACATTAAAAGCACATTTCCTGCAGAATGTTTTCTTTAAATCAATCTTTCCAAAAGCAACTCAGAGCCACGCCCACTGAGTTTTGCATTCATTCACTTGGATATGCTTCAAAGTTCGCATTCAACAGTAAAGTCAACTTAGTGATAACACACACAATACAATAGTGTGAACTGGGGCAAAGCACTCCCTGCCATGTGCGTTCCTACTGTATTTGCTGTCAACACCGACAATATGCCGCCTTCTTGAAATTCACCTTGTTAAAAAAGCATGTGTTGAATGTCTATCTCTATATTCTCTCCTCTACTCTCTAAAAAGGAAATTTGTCTGCAACTAATACAGACTGTAGAGGAGCAAATGTAGCCTGACAAGTAAATGTACTGCAGGAATACAAATACTATACGTTTAGTAGTTTGATTTTCTCAGACCCTTCTTAACCAAGGGGCACTTTGCCAAGACGTTGACACATTCCTTGGGCAGCCACCACTGGCGGAGCCCTACGGCAGGAGACTGTTCTGCAGTCATCCGGCTACATAGCTGAAATCAAATCTGAGGAGATCACAGTCATCAAACTCTGTCAACCTGCAGGTGAAACTGCTTCATACATTCAGTAAACATCCTAAAAAAAGATAGAAATAATTAAATTATACAGAATTATCTGCTGTTAACTCACAATGCACAATACCTGAAGTAAATCATTTATTACCCTCTACCCTCACTCAGGTCTGATGACTTTTATATGACTTTCTATTAGTTAAATATTAACTTTATTGATGCAATTGACTACTACAAGAGCATCACATTTAACACATATGTGGTTATGTGAAACACATACAGTGTTTCTCTTGCTCATAATGAATAGATAAGAGTTTTACATTGTTGGTACAACTCCATGTTTCTCAACCCATGATCTGCTCACGAACAGCCAGAGCACGTTTAATCATTCATGCTGCCGGGATTTTGACTTGGCGAGGAAAAATGATCATATTTCAGCGATCTTGGCTTCCTCACACTGGCTACCTGTTGCTTTCAGAATTGATTTCAAGTTATTATTGATTATTTACAAAGCCCTGAGAGGCTTCACTCACGCTATTCATCAGATCTTTTATTGCCCTATGTCTCTTCCCGCTCCCTGAGATCCTTACATATGTCATTCTTGGTTGTTCCAAGGTCCAGATTGATACACAAAAGTTATGGAGCTTTTGCAGTCAGGGCTCTTAGACTTTGAAATGATCTGCTTGAGGAGACCAGGGCTGTCTGTCTCGTCTTTTAAATCACTTTTTTCAATTTGCTTATGGGTGATTTCATTTATGAATTATAAACATTTTAGTTCATTTTGCTCTGTGTTTTATAATGTGTTCATTTTGATCTGTCTGCTTTTAGTTATTCTCATTGTGTTTTAAATGTGTTCTGTTATTATTGTAAAGCACTATATTTCATTATTTTGTTTATGATTAAAATTATTATTATTATCTAACATTAAAAGTGCAACAGACTACAGATGTGAATTCTAAACCTTTGTCCATAGTGTCAATATCTCATACAGCTTTAAGCATCTGAGTTGTGTCAAACGTAGTAATGAAAGACTTTCTGTCATTAGGGCAATAATTCTACCTCAACAGTACAGACTGTGTATGTTAAAGGTGGAGCCCGTTTGACTGAAGGTGTGTAATTTCCACCTCCCCTGGGGTTAAAGTGACAAAACTGTTCTTGCTAAGTCATACAAACTTAACCACCAGGAATGTCATCTACAGTGTTAATGTCGGGTATGGCTCCACACTGCATTCCTCATAGGAAATGAGGCTGTTGCACCACCTGAGTTGTGCTGAACAACAGCAGGTGTTAACTGGAGGCATCACAGCACAAAAGGTAAAATTACAGCATTCAGATCCACATGTTCAGTTGTTTTGACTGCGACGCCGCCTTAACCACTGCTATGTAATGTTTTGGAAACATATTAACATTTTACGATGTCAGTTAAAAAGAACACAAACGCAAGAGCAAACCTGCACCGGCTGATGTGCCACAGCAAGTACAGGGACCTAACATACCGCGATGCCATAACATTGTCATCATAACTGATAAATTACTCAATATTCTTATCTCACCTTTGTGGCTTAACTTCAAAAGAATGATTTATCTGAATCATCATCTTGTACTATACCACAGGCATGATTTGCCTATAATCTGACAAGCCCCTAATTCCCGGACTAAGAAGCACAGGAGTATTCCCAAGTTACTGTGGGATCACTTGCCAAAAAAACTGGGAATTCCCACCACAAAGGAACCAGACAACAGCAAATAAATGTTATGTCATCAATACTGCAGCACAACTTTAAAGATGTATTTATGGTTGTTTTGATGAAAGCCTGTTTTATTCTCTTGCATTGTGAGTGAAAAATAACAAAACAGTAACTGAATGTTGTATGTACTGTATGTGTATAATATATTATCATATACTATAAATACGATAACATGTACTGTATGTGTAGCCACACCCACTCTGACATCACTACTATAACAAAACCACTCCCTTTCAAGCTCCACCCTCCCACATGCTCCTCCTACCTGGTTTTAAGCTCCTTGTGCTCCTCCTTGATCTTGCTCAGATCCAGCTGCAGGCGTGCTCGCTCCTTGGCCACCTGGTCCAGGGTCTTGCGGGCGTCGGCCAGCTCTGCCTCATAGGCCGACTTCATGCCCGACACATCGCGGGTGACTGAGGACTCAGACTCAGTGATGCGTAGTCGCAGGCCAGCGTTCTCCATCTCCAGCGAGCGCACCTTGTCGATGTAGACAGCCAGTCGATCATTGAGGTTGCACAGGTCCTCCTTCTCCTGCAGCCTGGTGATGCGGGCCGGGGAGACGCCAGCGGTGCCACCGCGGCTGGTGCGTTTCTGGCTCGGGGTTTCCATGGTAATAATGGCTCAGCAAGAGGTGCAGAGGGGGTGAGTCACTGGCTGTGGGGGAGGAGGGCAAGGGAAGAAGAGTTAATGAAAACCACAGTATCTGGGCTCCCTTCCCTAGAAACACAGTGCACCAAATCACAGGCTGAATCACACATTAAACTTTAATGCAGTTTATACTGAAGAAATGTTCCAGTCTTGCATAACCATGATACTTGTTTGGGCAGCCTGCCTTCAGTGCTGGGTCTGCTCATAGTTCTGCATCATAATGTATCCCAGGATCCTTTTTCCACAGTCAGTAAGCACATCTATAAAACTTAATTAATAACCATCCTCTACTGTATTTGCATTGTATGAATGTGTGAAAGTAATTTGGTTCTTGTTTTTTAGGACTTCAGATTTTTAGGATACAAAACCCCTGTTATTTTATAAAAAGGAAGCATTACAGTTTTCCTGCCCTTTTCCTGCTTGTAGTGCTCCTGATAACAGCCCTTATTCACGCTGATATTTTCACTGCAGAGCGTAACACACTGTCATAACACACACCTTGTTGTAGGAGTAGTTAAGCTACTTTATGCAGTTCGCTCCTGAGCAAACAAATTTTCCCACAAGCACCAACCCGACCTTCGGCTTGCACACACAAGGCAATTAAACACTGTTATAATTGCTCTTAAAATATGCAGCTGCAGCCAGGGACACCAAAATAAATAAAAACACATCCCTCCTTCTCTGCTCTCCGGAGTTTTGGGTAAAATGGAGGCAAACCACAATTGCTTCCACTAGTTTACCGAGATCAGCATGTTCTGCAGTGATCATTTCGCCCACAGCACCAACATAATACCAAAGTGTTGAGTCATAGCATAAACAAATGCTGCAGGATGCCCTGATAAGGACATACATCCACTTTGCGCCTGTTTGGATGTGTGCTAACAGTGAATTGAATTAAAGGTCGCCGCATTACAGGCATCTGTCACTGAAGATACAATCCAAAATTGTATTTTTAAAATATTCTAATATTATATTTTAGGGTAGATTTGAAAATAAGAGAGGGAAAAAAAAGAAATTTTGCCCTTTGAAATCTTTAATTGGCAATGCTTAAAAAAAATCCAATTATGGTCAAAGTTATGGTCGAGTCAGCAATATTAATAAATGTATCAGTATTGTTTTTATCAACTGTGGCCAAACAGGTGTAACTTAAGAACTATTATATTCCTCAGCAGCTGCTCCACTCACAACCCAACCACCCTTTCCCAGTGAATGGCGGGAAAGCATACTCCAAATTTGGTTCAGCAGTGGGCGGATGCACCAAACTTTGCCATCCATCCTCTCACCGCCCATTACCAAAAGTGCACCCAAGGACATGCACGCCCATGTGGGTGGGATGGAGCACACACACACATGTACATGATACGTACACACGCCCACAGAGCAGACCCATTTACTCACACAAGTACTCTCTGCACTAACTTTGAATAAATGAAGCATCCATTTAAGCTCCCAAAATGTGCCGAGCATTAACAGGTGCTGTCTGATGTTCCACTCTTCAACAGAAGCAGGCAGTGAAATCAGCTACAACTTTTTAAAAGTTATGAAAAGTTATTCCACACCACTCCCTGAATAAATGAAATTGAAAATAACTTTGATCTGCTGAACAAGTTAAAGCACCATACTATGACCACATTATTTACACAACAGTGGCTCTTTCTGGCAGAGTAACCAACATAAAATGTCTCACAGGGAGACAAGAATCTGAGGAAACTCTGTGAACCTTACCTCAGTTGTTTGAGAACCTCTCGACTGCGTAGAGAAGAGGATCCGTTGAATAATGCAGTCTTGCTCTCTGCTAGTGGGTGTGTGTGCCTTTGGCTCGTGCCCTGAACTGCTTTCCTAGCTGTCGCTCACTGCACATGTACCTACTGCTGAAGAGAGAGAGAGAAGGGGCGGGAGCACAAGAGAAGGGAGGGTGGGGCGGTGAGGAGGAGTCAGGGTAGACAGACTTTTTGTGTGTGTGTGTGTGTGTGTGTGTGTGTGTGTGTGTGTGTGTGAGTGAGTGAGTGAGTGAGTGAGTGAGTGAGTGAGTGAGTGAGTGAGAGAGTGTGGACACACACAGTGCAGCTGCTGAGCGTTATCTCTCCCTGCACTGGCCCTATCTTTTCCTTTCTCCTTTCATTTCACTCAGACAGAGCTCTCGCAGACAGACTGACCTCAGCGACTGGTGCAAGTGGTCTGTCAATAAAACGCGGTGACACTGATGATACTGAACAGCTCCTAGGTGGGTGAAAGTGTGTGAATGTGCGGATCTCACCCTGCTCCACCCTGCTGCTAAAAAGAATAAATACTAAGCCCACTTTTCTGTTTGAAAACGGCTGTGTAGAGTAAATAAATGGACGAGAAATTTCTGTTTCAATTTTACAAAGCAGAAAAGGAAAATCCTCTCTGCTTCAGGCGTGAACAGAGGTGACCTCAGCACACACAAACACACAAAATCGAAATTATCAAACAAGTCCAAAGTACATAGAAATCATTAATTACCTCATAGCAGGTTACTGGTGTTATCCATAGCAGAAATATAACTTGTCAGTAAGCTCGTCCATTGACAGCCGGGAGGTAAAAGTCCACAAATCTTGTGCATTATATTCCCAGTGAAAGACAGAATAATTCCCACAAGACATCTTGACAGACTAAAGGTCTGACACTCAGAACCGAGTTGATTCTGGTTTTATATTTATTTCCTCGGGGTGGAGTTAATGGAATCACAGGTCCAATCAAGTTCTGATGCAAAGGAAAAAGATGTTTTCAGCGCGCGTGTGTGTGCGTACGTGTGTGTGTGTATGTATCTCTTCACCATGGAAATGAAAGCTACTTCATTCATGTGTGTGTGTCTGTGTATGTGCATGTGGTTAAACAAGGGGCAAGACAGTGTCTCTGTTTTTGGGCATGGGGCAGGCCCAGTGGCTAAGGGTGTATTCTGGCTTCAGTGTGGCCTTCCAGTGGAAAGGAGCCGTCAGTCTCTGAGTCACACATCCCCATACAAACACCGTGCTTCAGCCTCCACCTCCTCTCTGCCTCTCTCTCTCTTTTTCTTTATCTTTCCATCTCAAGGTTTTTTGTTTCCATGGAAGTCATACGAAGACAAGAATGCCTGGCTGGCAGCCCAAACATCTCTCTTAAAACAAGCTTTTCTACAACTCTCTTCTTGGGGAAAAAACTATTTCCTTTTCTTGTGCTGTCTGTGTGCACAAACAATAATTCAATCACATCTCTTCTTCTGCGAGCAAGGGACTAGCAGAGCAAAACATTTCAAGCCTAAAAAAAACAAACTATAAAGGCTGAATGAGAAGAGAAAGTACATGCAACAAATGATCAAAAACGGTCAACACAATTTCCCAGAAGCCAGTGTGACATACACAAATATCTAGTTTTGTCCAACCAACAGCCCACAAGACAAAGATATCCAGTTTACAATGATATTAAAAACTGAGAAGAGCAGAAATTATTCACATGGGAGAGGCTGGTACCATTAAATGTCTGGCATTTTGGCTTGAAAAGTGAGTCAAAATGGGCGCCCTGTTAGCTCAACTGGTAGAGTTGGTCCCAAGTGAGTCAAACAAATTCATTAAAAGTAGCTGCTGATCAATCGTACAACTACTCAATCCATTGATCAAGTTTCAAAGTAAGTAAAGTAATGCAAAGTACTTGCACAGTGGTGCAGTTCTACCTGTTGGCTCTCTGGACTTATAAGCCAGGATCCTCGTCTGTAAAATAATTACTGTATATTATTTGGATGCTGCTTTCAATGAGATTTGGAAAATTCAAAAAGTAAACCTGGATTTTCAACTACTACCATTCAAGTCTTCAGCCGGCTGACTGACACACAGTTGAGCTGTGAATCCCAGATGCACTCATCAAGTGCAAAGACAGGAACAGGCATGACAGACTGTGATGCAACTCAGACAAGACACTGAACAATGCGTTAGCAGTCAGTTTTCTTTCTGTCCCTGCTCTCTCTCTCTTTCTACCCTCACAACATTCCAAGCGGGCAGCACAAAATAAGGCGTGCCCGTTGTGCAATCTAGAGGTTTTATTTCTCCATTAGGATCCACTGACTTGCTGCTCTCTTGGGAAAAATGTGCAATGACAAAGAAGAATTTCTGCATGAGAAAATCTGGTGAGGGAAGGAAGAATTTTTCCAGACTTCAGTAGGCTACTGTAAACTGTTCACCCATTCCAGTTTCAAAACCTGAGGAACAGCTTACACAGGCAATGCAGTACATACAAAATCTCCTTTTATCACCTTCTTCTCCATTTACTGCACAGACTCATAACTCATGATCCAATGACGTGACGAAACAACGACTAATTTGTATAATTAAAAAATTCACAGAAGCATTAATCTTTCATTTGACAAACCACCAGTGTCGCTTACTCAAAAACACGTTAACTGTACGTTAGTGTGTATCGACGCTTGCATTGTACCTCAACAGCAGCTATTATTATAAAGCAGTCTTTCACTGTGTAATCTGTTCGAGAGACCATTGTTCACACATCTGCATTAATCATTAATAAAACAGTGCTACCATATCTCTGTTTAGTGCACAATAACCCAATATGCTTTGGAAAGGTTATGATAAGCAAGTAATCTACAAATACTTGTGTTTGGTTTTTTTTCGTTTCTTCTGTTTTTCAAAGTAAAGCTAAATATTAGACATTCTGTCCATTTCTACAGGTATAACATGGACTATGAAGCTTACCATGCAAATTACTAGTGATCAAAGCAGCCTATAGTCTTATGCAAGTCCATTTTATAATGTTTCATAATGCACAGGAAATTTGGAATAAATATTGCTGAGACAGGCAACACAATGTGTTATCTCTGATGACAGATTAAGTTCTTGGGTGGGTCTAAACAGATATGATGGGGAAGGATCAGAGGCTTGTCTCATTATTTCAATCAGCAATTTGAGGAAGTAACTGTCCCGGGGGGAAATTGAGGAAACTGCAGAAGGGACAGAGCATCAGGCCGAATAATCAACTACTGTGGGATGGGAAAACTTGCGTGTGTGATGTTGCGTGTGTGATGTTGCAGTGGTGAACAATCTCACCTCTGGAGTCACTTCTGTTTCTACCGGAAAAATAGAAGTAAATATACTGACTGTGGTTTATGAATTAAATTATTCATTGTTCTACGTTAAATCCAACCATCCAACAGTAAATAGGTGGAATTAGCTCCATGCGTTCGTTACTACATAGTTCAAATTTGTATATCTTGTCTGTATAAGCCATCAGTTGTTTTATTGTTTACAGTCTAATCATGAGCCTGTCAGTCATCTGTGAATCACTTTGAATTCCACAGACCTGTACAAAAGGGTGCTATACAAATAAAGTTTGATTGATATCTAGATTGATATGCTTCCTGCACCAATAATAATAATAATAATAATAATAATAATAATAATAAATGTAAAATATATATATTACAACATTGATAGAGGATATTTTACGTCCTGAGTACTTTCATACTTTAACCAAATTAACTATTTTTGACATTGTTATTCATACTTTTACTTAAGAATCTGAATACTTCTTTCACCACCCTGGGGCAGCTGTGGCTCAGGAGGTACAGCAGGTAGACCACTAATCAGGAGGTTGACAGTTCGATCCCCAGCTACTCCCAATGCAAGTGTCCCCTGTGCCATCGGTGTGAAAGTGTGTGAATGGGATTAGTTCATTTCTGATGAGAAGTTGGCACCTTGCACATGGCAGCCTCTGCCATCACTATATGACTGTGCGTTAATGTGGCGTGTAGTGTAAAGAGCTTTGAGTGGTTAGAGACAGGAAGGCACTATATAAGTGCAACTCCATTAATGCATTTCCATTTTGATGCATGTATTCAAAAACACCTAAAAGGACCACTTGAATTAACTAACTCATACTGCTGAAGCCTCAGCTGAACTTGATAATATATGTTTAGACATAATAAGGGATGTTTGTCCCCAATTTCTTGTACACTGAAATTTCTTTAGGATCTCTTTGAAGCTTTTTTTTCCCCAATTACAGTGACCAATATCCCTTTCAATATACATATAAACATTTAAGTACTGTAATAAGATACACTTGAATAACTTTACAAACCACTACCCTCAGATAAAACAAATGTTAAATATTAAATTAATTTAAGTACATTTTATCCTTTCTAAGATGATATACTCTCAGCATAGCTACTCTCAATGATATAAAAGATAAAAATATCAAACACATCTCAGTGTAACGTGATATTCAGCAGCCTCCAAAGTGACCATAAAGTTGAATCAACTCCTCTCTAAAACAGTTTCCACAAAACTGAGCATTATAACCTTCAGGAAGGTAAGATTCACTATATTAGACTGGGTGCAGTGGTGGAAGAAGTACTCAAATATTTTACTTAAGTAAAAAGTAGCAACTCTTTTGTATTATTAACCCTAATCTGTAGAGTAAGTAAAGTACCAAATACATTTAGTGGAGTAAAAAGTACAACATTTGCCTCTGAATTGGAGAACGTTGCAGACAATAGAAAAACACAAACAAAGTACCTCAAAATTGTACTTAAGTGCAGTTCTTGAGTGAATATATAAGTACTATCCGCCTCTGGCTGGGTGTACCTAACCAACTGTTATCTCTGTCCATCCCTGCAGTCCGATTTCCTCATGAATGATGCTGCAGCTCTCACACTGCGCCTCTCTGGCGCCCCCTGTCTTCTCTGTTGTCTGTTGTCAAATCATTCACAAGCACAGCGAAGATACTAAGCGCCATCCACTGGCTGACACACTGAATGGAAACTTGAGGGTGACGTCCCCCAACATGGGTCACAGAGTTCACCAATTGGTTCAACATCCTGCCTGCCTCCTTTAAGTAAGGACCCGAAAACACAACACACAGCCTT